CCCCCGGGCCTTGGCGGCTGGCTCTGGTGGTGTGGCTCACCCCTCAGTCCCGACTGGTCTGGCTGTGGAGAGAGAGAGGCAGACACTGTCCCTGCGGCCATGCCCTCTTCTGTGAGCAGCGACCAACAATCCTCGGGGCAGAGCCATGTGTGGCCTGCACAGTGGTCTATGCCTCACAGGGGCCCCAAAGTGCCCAGGGGACCGTGCTGCCTGCTTCCCACCCCCCCCCCCCGCCGCAGCTGTGGCCTGCACAGTGGTCTATGCCTCACAGGGGCCCCAAAGTGCCCAGGGGACCGTGCTGCCTGCTTCCCACCCCACCCCCCGGCCCACGGACAAACAGGCAAGGGAAGTGTCCAGCCACAGTGGGATCTCCTCATGGGTGGCAGAGGAGCTGGGAGCAGCCTGGCCCTCTCTGGAGTCTGCACACACACCTGGGGCTCACAGCGTTGCCGCAGGAGCAGGTGGTGCCTTGCATGTGCAGGTATGTCTGCGTGCCATGTGCGTCACTCCTCCGTGTGTCTGGGCTCATGCCTGCACTCTGTGCTCAGGAGCTGCCTGCTGAGTCCGCGTGTCGCACACTAACGCTGCACGTGGTTCTACATGTGCAGACCGCAGCACGATGTCCAGCCCAAGCAGCCTGAGCAATGCTCGCCCCCCGCCCCCTGTGCACCAGCCTCCCACGCCCTGTGTGTGTGACAAACTAAGATCACTCACCTGAAGATCCTTCCCCAGCATCCGAGGAGGCCTGGGAGACATGCTGGTTCACAGGCACCGGCTCCAGGGACAGGGTCATGGTCTCCGTCTCCTCCTCCTCTTCTGGCTGGCCCTGGCCCTCCTGCTCCTCCTCCGCTGTGACCTCTGGCTGGGTGACGATGGGGGTCTGGAGGCTGGAGTCCACCACAATGGGTGGGGAAGACACGTCCTCACCCCGCAGGATCTGGTGCAGCTCGTCAAAGTGGGGGCAGGTGTAGAGTCCTGCCCCTGAGCGCGAGCTGCGCTCTCTGGCCCAGACATATCCCTGGCAGAGCTCCTTAACCTGACTCTGGACTGGTTCCAATGTCCAGGGTGGGTGTCCGCGCGCCGCCAGGGACTTGGCCATGAGTTCAAATATCTCGGCGTTGCGCTGTTTGGAGCAGAAATCCTGCAAAGTGTCTTCGCCCCAGAGCTAGAGGAGGGACAGGATCTCCGCTCTGGACCAGGAGGGTGCCCACCTCTTGGTCCCTCTGGGTGGGTCCTGGGACCCCTGGGGCTGTTCTCTGCAGGGGGCTTGAGGCTGGGACATGAGTGGCAAGGCTTGTGGCAGGGAGAGCTGTGTGGTTCCTGCCACAAGGCTTGTCCAGGGTGCCTGCAGCTTTAAGAAGGGCCAAGAAACAGGAACTACAGAGTCCTGATTAATTTGGACAGAATGTCCACCAGGGCACCTGTGTTATTTCCCGGAGGCCTCTTCTTTCGAAAAAAAACCCTCCTCACCGTCCACACACGTCTTTTTCCAAAAGAGCATTTTTGGAAAAAGGCTTCTTCCTTGTAGAAAGAGGATTGCCAACGCCAGAAAACCCCTCCATTCTTTCGATTTACTTTCGGAAGAATGCGATTGTAGTGTGGACGTAACACAGGGTTTGTCAGAAAAATGGCTGACAAAGCTCTGTAGTGCAGACATACTCCAAGAAATAACTATGATCGCCCAAGCAATGAATTATTATCTGAGTTCCTGGCTTTCTTCTTATTCCAATGGGAAATGATCTATGCCAACCCTTAATTAAGGTCAGATTTCCCCCCCCCCCCATTCCACTCTGTTTTAGGACTGTTTACCTGTTGTTTCTTTTTACTGTATGTTTATTTTCTTTAGGAGGACAATTTTCTGCTGATACAGAGAATCAGAAGCTCTTGGCCTCATATCTGTTTGAGACTATTTTGGTCTTATTCAGAGCATAATTTGTTTATTCTTACCCTAAACTAACTGCTCCAGTCCAATCCTTATTTATGCCTAATTACATACCTTTCAAATACTGTACTCCACTTACCATCTTCCACATTACAGCTGCATTTCTCTTTATTGTAAGAGCAAAGGAACAACTGAATCTCTTGGGGTACATCTACACTACAACGTTAATTCGAACTAACTTAGTTCGAATTAGTTAATTCGAACTAAGCTAATTCGAACTAATGGATCTAGACTAAAAAACTAGTTCGAATTAGCGTTTTGCTAATTCAAACTAGCATGTCCACATTAAGTGGACTCTGAACTGGGCTTAAGGCTGGCCGGAAGCAGTGCCGGCAGGGCATCAGAGGAGGACTTAGAGCGTGGAGATGCTGTGTCAGGCTAGCCGAGGGCTGTGCTTAAAGGGTCCCGACACCCACCCCGGATAGACAGTTATCAGGGGTGCCCCGCTTGCAAAGCAGTCCTGGCTTGGATTGCCCGGAGTACCCACACTGGGCACATCATAGCACTCGGCCATCAGACCGGCTGCACTTGCCACAGGCTGCCATCTGGGGAGAGGGGGCAATTGGGGGGCTGCAGGAGAGCTTCCACCCCAAAAGCCCACAGAGCCAGCCCAGTCCTCCCCATCAGGGGCGCATACCCCATTCCTCCCTCACCTCCTTCCACTTACCCTTCCCTAGCCCCTCTTCTTGATGTACAAAATAAAGATAACGTGTCTTCCAAAATGGAATCTGTCTTTATTGAACAAAACTGGGGGAGACTGGGAAAAGGAGGTGGGAGAGGGGAAGAGAGAGGGTTGGAGAGGGGAGGGCAACTAAAATGATCAGGGGTTGGGAACAGGTCCCATATGAAGAGAGGCTACAGAGACTGGGACTTTTCAGCTTAGAAAAGAGGAGACGGAGGGGGGACAGGATAGAGGTCTCTAAAAGCAGGAGTGGTGTGGAGAGGGTGCATAAAGAAAAGTTCTTCATTAGTTCCCATAATAGAAGGACTAGAGGACACCAAGGCTGTGTCTACACTGGGCCACTTATTCCGGAAAGCAGCATATAAGGGCTCGGGATAGCAAGTGATGGAGAGGAGGAGAATAGAGAGGGCAGAGCTTCAAGAAAGGGGCGGGGCTTCAAGGTAGGGGCGGGGCAGTAGATCTTGGCTTGTTCTGTCATTTAAAAAGTGATCGTGGGTGTGAAAAGGTTGGAGACAACTGCCCTAAGGTGCACCTCCCTCCCCCCTAAACAATTTTTTAATCTTAAAACATATCCTTGATAGAAGTCGGAAGCACCCTTCCTCTCCAAACAACACAGAATACAACAATGAATTTAAGACTTATGTAAATAGCCCTGGTAATCCACCAAAGCCAATGAACACTGTGGCTACGTCTACACTGGCCCCAAATTCCGGAAAAGTGATGCAAAGCAGGTAAGTCAGAATAGGGAAATCCGCGGGGGATTTAAATATCCCCCGCGGATTTAAATAAACATGTCCTACCTGAGGAATAAGAGATCCTCCGGAAAAGGGCTTTATTCCGGAGGATCGCGCCAGTCTAGACGCTTTTTTCCGGCTTTTCCCCAAGCCGGAAAAAAAGCGGCGGACATGTTTATTTAAATCCACGGGGGATATTTAAATCCCCCGCGGATTTCCCTATTCTGACTTACCTGCTTTGCATCACTTTTCCGGAATTTGGGGCCAGTGTAGACGTAGCCTTTATGTATTAGTTTTATGGGTCTGTAGTGTTCTATAATCCTAAAGAGACTTGATCTTGATCTAGGACTCCTTGAGATTTGGAGGAATATTGTGGATTTAATCCACCATATGGATCAAGTAGCATAGTTTTTGTGCTTTCACAGCAAGCTTTTCTACTCTGTAAATCTTCTACCTCTCAAGTTGGACAGTCAGCAAGTAGCCCTGGGATTTACAGAGTAAGATAAATAGTTATGAAAGCAGTTACTATATGCTACTTAATCTCAGAAATGTAGGTTTGGAAGGGACCTCAAGAAAGGAATGGGAAAAATCTAGTCCATTTCCTCCATGTGTAACCCACACACCTAGTGTGGTTCACTGTCCCATGTACAGCGAGAGATAAGAACAAGGGAGCTCTATAGCCTAAGATCAGAGCCAGCTGGCTTTTAGGTCAAGCCATAGAGGTTCCCACAGTAAGCTCCAGAGATCCTAGGTTCAAATCCGCCTGGTGGCGGTTACACATGCTTTATGTATGTGATGAATTTTAGTGTACAAGATTTGTAGAATAATACATTTAGGTGTATTCTTTACAGCAGGGGGCCCCAAGAGAATTACCAGGCATCTGGTTAAGGTGGAGGAGTCAGCTCTGCACTCCTGGAAGGGGAGGGACTTGGGGAAAGGGGTGGGGCTGGAGGCAGCCAGCCCTCAGCATCACCTAGAGAGTGCCACACCCCCACCAGTCTCAGCACTACCATGGCCAGCATCTTTGGCCACAGCTATTGCTGCATTAGTAGAGGTGGTGGCCAGGAAACCCAGGCCCATTGAAATCACTGGAGTTGCCCCTCCTGCTCTATAATCTGTTTTACTTTGGCAACTACTTATTACCTTTGACATTGTATTAGGGAGCTGTAATGTAAACTACTATTTACTTCTCAAGCAAAAAATGTGGCCTATTGGTTAGAGCATAGCACTGGGAGCCAGGTCGCCTAATATGGACAAATTGCATAATCTCTCTGCACTTCAGTTTCTCCATCTGCACAATGATTAACCCCCTCTCCCAAAGGCCTGAGGCACAACTGATGTGCAGGTTACACTACTTCAAGTGCAATATATATGAGTAACAATACTTGTACGCGCTTTGAGAGTGCTGGGTGAAAACCATTAAAAGAATTGCAAATTAGTAAGCAATATTAAGAAATAAAAAATGTAACAACTATGCCACAAGTTAAATATAGAGGCCAAAAATCCAAAACATGTTGGTTTGCATTTTTTATTCCAACACATCACATTTATATTCCCCCCAGAAAGGAACCTTTAGTTGCTGTGACCGCTGGAGCCATTTGTGTTCGGGATCCATGGCCATGCCTTGAAAGTCAATGGCATTCTGAATATGCCTTTCATCAGCTGTTTTAACATCTAAAACCTATAGAAGAAAAACATACATTAAGAGCCACACTAGGCTTTCCATGCTATGGTAGTATAGCAGGGCCAAAAATAGCATAAAAGATCTATGGAGAGGGAGGGGGGCAGGAGGATAAAGGGTGAAACAAGCAACAATCTCCATGCCAATACAGGTAAACAGTAAAATGCAGCATTAGATTATTCATGGCAGAACAAAGATGGGGCCAACTCGGATCACAGGCAAAGGGAGTGCACAAACAATTCAGTATTAGTAGAGACCACAGTAGTATGAATATTAATAGGAGAGGTTGTGGATGCCATTCTGAGCACCTTCAGAGAACAGAGGGAAAGAAAGGTGCATACAGTAGGGACTTCTGCTCATAGCTAATAAGTCTCAGAGGGGTAGCCGTGTTAGTCTGTAACTTTAAAAACAACTTAAAAAAATAATAGTCCTGTAGCACCTAACAAAAATATATGTCTAGTATCATGAGCTTTCATGGGCAAGACCCATTTCTTCAGATGAGATGATCTGAAGAAGCAGGTTTTGCCCGTGAAAGTTCATGATACTATGCATATATTTTTGTTAGTCTCTAAAGGTGCCACAGGACTACTCGTGGTTTTTTTAAAGTTGTTTTCATTGCTAATAGCTGTCCAATATACGTAAGGTAAGATACCTCTAATATAGGCAGAAGAAAGCATACTACACATCCATCGCTGCTATACAGACAACGAGGACTGCACTAAAACATCCTATATGATATACATCATAGCAAAGCCTAGACAATATATTTATTCATCCAGTACAGAAAGCACTATAAATTAAAATAATGTTGGTAGAAAAGTATTGGGTGCAGCCACAGATCACAAACAAAACAGCTTATAGCCATGCAGTAACAATCAGCTGGTGGTAGGCAACAAACCACTTATATGCTAATCATCTTCTTCATGAGCAAAAACACATAACATAGCCATATCCTATACCAGAGGGTGTATAGAGTGTGTGGGGGCACATGGGAAATCAGATCTGAGGAATTATTAAGTGGGGACTGATCATAGTCTAATATAGATTTTAAGGCCAATATCAAAATGGTCACATTAACTACCACAAATGCAACAGACAGAATTTTCAGAAGGGCTCAACATGCGAAGTTGGTGCAAACAACACATCCAGATTGACAAAGCAGACATCTGTGAAAGGAAGGTATTGAGGCCTACCCAGAATATGTCAAATGAGCACCAGTTTAATTGTTAAGTGGAAAGGAAAGGCAGCACTCTCAGATACAGGAGATAAAAATAAAAACAAAATTTGATTGGTTGACCAACAATAACCCCGCTTTTAGGGAAGTAAGTAACTCAGACAGCAGTATGCAACAAAGTGCTGATTACCCCAAATGGAGCAGACGAAAGTTTTTTGTAAGGGCAGAATGAGACAACAAAAATCTAACGTCAGCAATTGTCAGGCGAGTGGAGGAGTACCAAAATACCGAAACAAGGTATATAAGGTGGGCTGAAACAGACCACGAGCGGACGGGTTGCGAATCCGAAAAGCCAGGTCTGATCAACCAGGGCTCCCTCCCCAGCGCTGAATCTCGCTGCCGTACGTAAGCTCCGAAAGGGGAACAAATAAGCTCCGAAAGGGGAACGAATACCGGTCGTAAGTTGCAACGAAAAATCCAAAGAAAGGAAAAACATAAAGAAAAGAATATCTCCTGAATCTAAGCAATGCTTCTATTTTTCTTAACGTGAGTATTATATAACTGTTAACTCCATAAATTTCTTAAAGGTAACTCAGGAAGGTATATCAGTAGGAGAAGTTATTATTTCTTGTTATTTTTAACTGTACTGTTTTTCTACTTTTTCTTTGTATATTATATTGTCTTAAAAAAATCAAAAATAATGAATTGATTTAAATAGAAAATTGATTATAAAGTAAATAGAAAAAATAAATAATCTTTGTTTAACCCTAAAAAGAAGTATTCCTCTCTCTGTAGTTTCAAATCCTTTAAAGAACCAAACCCGGTTACCGAAAACATCAGGCAGAGAATAAGAAGCTATACAGGCCTGCCTGTCTGCATACAGTATAGCAGGAACCAGAAAAAGATTGACAGCGGAAGCAAGTATTAAGTGCGAGAGGCATGATGGGAAAAAATATGTTGATGTTTTAAAAATTGTTAAACTTTCTTTCAGTGTTTTTCATAAAATTTCATTAAAATAGAAACAATGTTACAAATATTTTGGTTCCAAATAGAATTAAATGAACAAAGTATGAGCAGGGAGCAATCCAGGCAGCAGATCAAACACATGCCATATAAAAAATTAGCTTGTCTATCTTCTATTATCTTTCTTTCTGCCTCTTTACTGCCAGATATTGTCCTGGTTTCCTTTTACACTGCAGCTGTAAGTAGGAATAAGGGATCTTCCGGAAAAGGCTTTATTTTCTGCAAGATCCCATCTAGACTGGCGCTTTTCTCCAGCAAAACCCCAAGCCGGAAAAAAGCGGCAGCCATGTTCATGCAAATGCCGCGGGGGATATTTAAATCCCCCGCGGCATTTGCAATTCCAAAGTGTCGCATTAGCATCCCTTTTCCGGAAAAGGGTGCCAATGTAGACACAGCCTCTATGTTTTTTCCATGACCCATAACAAAATATGACAGTACAGTACACACATGTGACTGTAGGCAATAAGCCAGTCTAATCATTGTTGTGACAACATAGGTACTTTACTAAGTCATTGCTTGCAGTAGGGGTAACTGAACACCACTGCCGAGAGGGTATGGCTAATTTGGGAAAAGCCACAGGGAGAAGATGCCTGTGACCAGTGGAACTGTTAACTACAAAAACCTGAGCTCAGATAATTAAGGACTGTCTCTTTTCTACACAACCAATTAGCATACTAGCTGGAAGAAGAGCACAGGCAGCGGCAGTGCCTGGGGTGCCTATAACCATAGCAATCCAAACAGCATAGTTAAGGGACAACTCCATCAAATGTGTTCAGAGTCCATCTAGAAGTAAGCTATGTGGATTACACTAGGGCTGCCTAAGCCCAATGACCCAAACAATGAAGTGAGTACTGGATATTCACAAACTGGATGCATAGGGCAAATTGTTGAAAAAAGGAAGCACTCATATAGATGTTGGCAGGTGAAATACCTGTCATAGCAGGGTGCTGGGTACATATGAAATGCCTGGTTTCATATTCTGGGCGTGTATCTAAACCACTCACACACATGCTCTTCTGAAAGACTATGCAGCTCCCACAGATTGCAGAGGAATGCACAACAATCAAACGACACTTTCCTAAGAACCGAATATTCACTTATTGCTATCGTACCACTGGCTGAGAAACCCTGCTCTAGAGTCTAGACCAGTGGTTCTTAACTTTACTGCAGCCTGCACCCCTTTGGTTCTCAAATATGTTCTTGCACCCCTTATTAAAAATCATTGAAGTAGGTCAGTTCTTTAAACCTAAGATATATCATAAAAATTTGGCATGTCTTGCATCCCCAGAAAGGGCATCTCGCACCCCCAGGGGATGCATGCACCCCAGGTTAAGTACCACTGGTCTAGACTAACAGCAAGTGCTTTGTATCCTGCTAAGAAGCCAGAGCATAATATGAGAACCACTGACACAGGTTACATGCTGTAGCCAGGGCTTTGCAGGTAAGGGTCAGCTGGTCTGAACAGAAAAGAATTAACCCCAGCAGAGGTCCTCTTATTGCTGACATTTCAGGTCAGACACATTGCTGCAAGTAGTAATGAAAGACTCTAGCAGCTCTCCTTACAGAAAAGAAGTTAACAAATTAAGAAGACTCGTCATAGGTTTTTTTCTCCACTGCAGACAGAGAAACGCAGCTTTTCCATTGGTAAGATGTTTTTGGTGGAACCCACTGAACTGATAGTTTACTGGGCAGGTAAAGCATACTTCTACATTATCTCTTTGAAAGAGGAACAGGACACAACCTCTGCCAGCATTTTTTTGTGAACTATTCTATTAATACCAATCAAATTGAGAAAATGATCAAATGAAATTGCATTTTGAGCATCATAAGCTGTGTAATGTCTATTCTGTTAAATTGAGGCCCATAATTGCTTCTCTACTGAAAAGATACAACAAAGACAGCAATCATGGCATGTCATTATCCCAGACTAGAAAACCGGCCTTTGCAGCGAGGACTTCAAAGGCTTGTGGTTCTCGAATTGCATTTGGCTGCTATTGTTGAAGCGCAGGCAATCTTGATTAGGTGTTTACACTGAGGTAAGGCACAGTGCACAGAGAGTCTGAGTGCCTTGGTCTAGAGCCATTAAAAAATTGTACATTATGTTCCTCGCTTTGAAGTAAGGGGTTTGTAGGGAGGAAAGCAACTCATATTGAGTACAGCTGAGCTAGTTTGGGCAGCTACTTCTCTCTCTCAAAGAAACTCATCATCAGGTTCTTAGAGAATCAGGCAGTGTTACAAAAAAGTTGATGCTTTATAAAATGCTATATGAATTAATGAACATACACATTAACCATAAGCACACATCTGTAGTATGTTTAGGTCTATACTGCCTACACACATAATGGGTGTGAACCTTGAAGTAACTTGATATAAGGATCTTTTGGTATCAAACATTCAAATATCTTACCCCATATTATGTTTTTACAGAGATGATTTAGTAAAATTAGATGAAAATGCTCTATTTTAATGCAATGTTTTATATCCATTATGCTTCTCTATTAGCTGTGTCGATAACAATTCTGACAGTTATAATTTGCTGAAAGGTGGAAACTGGATTATTTATAAAGACAACATCCAGAACATGTGTTTTGGAGGCTGAGATGGATATCTGAGATGCTATGTTTTGTATACTCCTTATAATTTTCTAATGCCTATTATCCCTTGCTTACTATTCTGTCACCTGAGTTAACTACTGATTATCTTACCTGCCTTCACTGTCCACAAACTTTAAGATGAATTATGTTTCACACGTACCAACTTTGATTGATTGTTTGCTGCATCCCAACCTACTAAGTGGTCTTCC